CTGTCGGAAGACAGCATACTCTGCTAGATGGACCTTTACTCTGACCCAGTATGGGCGTTCTTATGTTCTAAACTTTTAAAAGACCATAACATTTTGTTCAGAGTTACAAACGACCTCCATTCCTGATGTGTTCGTAACTCTGAGGTTCTACTGTATACAGTAGAATCCCATTTATCCAAGGGGGTTTGGCTGATTGTGTGTACTAATACTCAAGTAGCACTTTGACAGAGGTTGCGGGAAAAAACAGTTACTGCATGGATAACCATGCATCCTAGAGATGCCATGTTTTGAAGGAAACATTATCTCCTGGCCTGTACATTCCAGGACTACATTATCTTGCTTTATTGGAATCTCCCCTGATCTATGTTTCTTTTACGCCACAGCTCCCACATGCAGTCTTATGTACAAGCCCCATGTGTCTAATAGTACTGTTACCCCAAATACTCACATGCATATACTATAAAAGATGAGCTCCATGAAGGTGCTACAAGAGTTTTTACTCAGACAATTCTGTTTTGTACTTATTGTTTTCTAATGCCTCATGAGAAAAAGTACATGGAACTGTTAACAGAGCTAACCTAAGAAACCAGGTCTGCTGGATTGTAATTGAGTCTTACCAGACACCTGCAAATCTAAACCAAAATTGTAAAATGCACTAAGTCTCTAATTCTTGTAGAATTGTGCTGAAAAGCAAGCCATTAAACAAAACAAAAAACAGAACACACCTGATGTTTTAACTACTTAGAATACAATCCAGTCCTAGCCATAAAGAAAAACAATAAATCACAGCATTTATATAAATGCACCAGCCCCAGCCCACAACTTCACGAAATTCTATTTATACATAAAACACAATTTTTAAATATGAGAAACTTATCGGCATGGGAATTACTATTAGTGATGAACTCTTAAGCATGAAGCACTGTGCTAGCATCAAACACACTATTTCAATAAGATTCAGCACTTCTCCCCAGGAAAGTGAGCACAGTGCCTTCAGAGAGCTACAGATCAAGTAAAATTCATTTAAATAATAAAATGTTAAGATTGGGGCTTTGTCAAATTCCTCCAAAACTATCTAAGAGGTTTCATTTAGTTTTAATGACTATTCCAAAGGAAGATTCTCCATCTACTGTAAAAGGAAAGAAGCTGGGTTTAGGATTTCTAGACCCATGAATTACAGAACTTGTGCACCACCTCCTTTAAAAAAAAAAAAAGAGACATTCTAATCTTAAAACAAATGAAAAGGGGGAAAATGGTTAGTAAGGAGACTGACAATAAGCTAGAGAGACCAGGTGGGTGAAACTGGTGAAAGAGGCAAGCTGTCAAGCTTACACAGAGCTCTTCTTCAGTTCTGGAAAAGCTCTAGAGCCTTTTACCTCTAGGTTGCTTGTTTATATAAAGCCTAGGGGCTAATGACACCGTGTTGTTGTCTTCTGATGGCTGTCCAGTGGTTTATGGGAACTAAATTTGGGTCTAGTCCCCAGCTGACAAGTGTTCACCTCACGAAAACCACCATCACAATTACCATCATTGTTAGCAGTTTTGGCAATGAAACCAAGGATTGAAGAGGCCACAGAAACTGAATTACCCTTTTCGCATCTAACAGTGACTCTTTCCAAGTCAGGTTGAGGTACATTGGCTGAGTAGGGAGGCCTCAAAATAGAAGTCTATAAGCTTTGTTTTGGTTTAGCTGTACATATACCACACTTCATTCCCTTAGTAACATGGATGCGCCATACATCTGCTCAAGATCTGTCTGGATTCTTGTAGTACGTTTCAAGATCATCACCATTGTTCACAAGGACTGATTAGGGTAGGAATGAGAACAGCAGAAGACACATGCATGCAGTCAAGCAAATCCAACACACTAAGGCCTCGTCTACACTGCCACTTTACAGCGCTGAAACTTTCTCACTCAGGGGTGAAAAAAAAACCCTGCGTGCTGCAAATTTCAGCGCTGTAAAGTGGTAGTGTAGACAGCTCTCTCCCAGCACTGGTGCCGCAACTACACAGCCATGTTAAAACGCTGCCACGGCAGCGCTTTAACGTTGCTAGTGAAGACATACCCTAAGTGTGCTGCCCTTGTTATGGAGACTAATAGATATTCGAGTGTGACAATTTTTAACAGCTGTTTTTAAGCAAGATTAAAATTTTGAGCCTATCTATCCACTTTGACAGCATCCCTATAAAAAAGGAAATAGTTTTGTGTTACTGAATGGTGCTGGCTTGATACTCTTGGAGAGCAGAATCCTCTATTTGTAGAATTGATACAGTACAGGCAGCAGTAGTACAAGTTTCCCCTCACACTGCCCCATCTCTAGGTCTAAGGAGCAAATTCAGTCCCCAATGGCCCAGTCCAGTCTTGGTCTTTCTGCCAAGATGGCCAACTGAACTGACAGCCGGTGCCAAATGTGTTGATATTTTTCATAACAGGGACACTTGTCACACCAGCACCTGGACAAATTCATTTCACAAAGGATGCTGAAAATGCAAAAAAGCGATTTTTGGCTCCCAGGCTCAATACAGAAGGATCCGTGTTTGAAAAGTGTTGACACACTAGTCAAAATCACCTCCTTCTTAAACTCGGTTTGACTATCATTGACACCAAACCACTTCCAAAAACACATTCACAAGCAGCTGATGCGTATAGGAAATAAGCGCAGTTAAAGAAAACATTCAGATACATCCTGCAACGTTATAGCCAAAAGTCTTGTTGATTACCTTAAAGTAGGGCTGTCAATTAATCGCAGTTAACTCATGCGATTAACTCAAAAAAATTAATGGTGATTACAAAAATTGAGTGCGATTAATCGCAGTTTGAATCGCACTGTTAAACAATAGAATACCAATTGAAATTTATTAAATATTTTGGATGTTTTTCTACATTTTCAAATATATTGATTTAAATTACAACACAGAATACAAAGTGTACAGTGCTTACTTTATATTATTATTTTTATTACAAATATTTGCGCTGTAAAAATGACAAACAAAAGAAATAGTATATTCACTTCATACAAGTACTGTAGTGCAATCTCATTATGGTGAAAGTGCAACTTACAAATGTAGATTTTTTTTGTTACATAACTGTACTCAAAACAATGTACAACTTCAGAGCCTACAAGTCCACTCAGTCCTACTTCTTATTCAGCCAATCACTAAGACAAACAAGTTTGTTTACATTTACGGGAGACAAAGCTGCCCGCTTCTTATTTACAATGTCACCTGAAAGTGAGAACAGGTATTTGCATGGCACTTTTGTAGCCGGTATTGCAAGGTATTTATGTGCCAAATATGATAAACATTCATATGCCCCTTCATGCTTCGGCCACCATTCCACAGGACATGCTTCCATGCTGATGAGGCTTGTTAAAAATAAATAAATAAATAAATAAATAAAGCGTTAATTAAATATTGACTGAACTCCTCGGGGGAGAATAGTACGTCTCCTGCTCTGTTTTACATGCATTCTGCCATATATTTCACGTTATAGCAGTCTCGGATGATGACCCAGCACATGCTGTTCGTTTTAAGAACACTTTCACACAGATTTGACAAAACGCAAAGAAGGTACCAATGTGAGATTTCTAAAGATAGCTACAGCACTAGACCCAAGGTTTAAGAATCTGAAGTGCCTTCCAAAATCTGAGAGGGATGAGGTGTGGAGCATGCTTTCAGAAGTCTTAAAAGAGCAACACTGTGATACAGAAACTACAGAACCCAAACCGCCAAAAAAGAAAATCAACCTTCTGCTGGTGGCATCAGACTCAAGATGATGAAAGTGAACATGCGTCAGTCTGCACTGCTTTGAATCGTTATCGAGCAGAACCTGTCATCAGCATGGACGCATGTCCTCTGGAATGGTGGCTGAAGATGAAGGGACATATGAAGCTTTAGCACATCTGGCACGTAATTATCTTGCAATGCCGGCTAAAACAGTGCCATGCGAATGCCTGTTCTCACTTTCAGGTGACATTGTAAAGAAGAAGTGGGCAGCCTTATCTCCTGTAAATGTAAACAAACTTGTTTGTCTGAGTGACTGGCTGAACAAGAAGTAGGACTGAGTGGACTTGTAGACTCTAAAGTTTTATATTGTTTTATTTTTGAATGCAGTTTTTTTGTACATAATTCTACATTTGTAAGTTCAACTTTCATGATAAAGAGATTGCACTACAGTACATTTATGAAGTGAATTAAAAAATACTATTTCTTTTGTTTTTTACAGCACAAATATTTGTAATCAAAAATAAATATAAAATGAACACTGTACACTTTATATTCTGTGTTGTAATAGAAATCAATATTTGAAAATGTAGAAAACATCCAAAAATATTTTAAATAATGGTATTCTATTATTAACAATACGATTAATCGCAATTAATTTTTTTTAATCGCTTGACAGCCCTACCTTAAAGAGATGAGAACTGCTTCTGTAAATTTTAAATCTTAAATAAAATATCCCCAAAGTACTACAGGGCACCGCATTAGCTCCGCTGGAGCAGATTTGTGTAAAGCCAACCTGAATAAGGAGGCCCTGTGCACATCTGCCAGCCAAACAGTGCCCAGAGTCAGCTCCAAGGGATGGTTGGCTAGGCCCCTTAAAAGAAATCTGTGGGCCCCCTACAGCATGTTTGCTGGGGCCCCACTCCATCCATTTCACCTCCCTTACAGACATTCCTGGGGCCCCTGAGCTCAGGGCACTGGGTCAAGTGACCCCCTTCGCTCCCCCCAGGCTGAACTGTGATTTAAGTGGGGAGAGGGCTAACCTGGATCTACCCCCCCACAGCACTCAGATCAAAGAGCCCTGCACCCTCCGCCCCCCAAGGCCTGAGCCCCTCGCCCCCACGGTAACGGGGCCCGGGCCCCTCCGCCCCCCAAGGCCTGAGCCCCTCGCCCCCACGGTAAGGGGGCCCGGGCCCCTCCGCCCCGCAAGGCCTGAGCCCCCCACCCTGGGAAAGAGGCCTCCCCCCGGAGACAGCCGGACGCAGCCCCTCACCTACCCAGCCAGCCCGGCTCCTGCTCCGCCTCCTCCTGTCACTCTCCGCCGGCCTCAGCCCTCAGCGCTCCCCAATATGGCGGCCGCTCCTGCCCGGCCCCTGCGCTCCCCGCGGCTCCGCCCCCTCCCCGCGCGGTGCATCACGGGAGCCTCCTCCCCCTCGCCCCATTCGAATCAATACAGGAAGGAGGAGATACGCTCGTTGCCCATAGCAACCACTGAGGCCTAGCGGCGCCGGGCTGAGACAGGGGCAGGGCCTCCATTTAAAGACTTTCCGTCCGGGGGCAGGAGGAGAGGGGAGAGTTTCTGGGGGATGGGTTCGGGCCTGGGCTGGAGTTTGGGAGTCGGCCGGGCCTGGGTTTGGGGCCTGGCGGGAAGTTGGGGGGCTGGCGGAGGTTATGGGGCCGGATGTGGGTTTGGGGGGCTGTCGGGGCGTTGTGGGCCCCAGGGTGGGTTTGGGGGGTTGTAGGGCCGGGGGTGGGTTCAGGGGACTGGGGGTTTGTTTGGGGGGCTGGCGGGGAGTTCTTGGGCCCTGGGGTGGGGTTGGGGGGCTGGAGGGGGGTTGGGGGGCTGGTGTATCATTGTGGGTTCAGGGGGTTGGGGCATTGTGGGACTGGGGGTGGGTTCAGCAGGGTGGGGGATAGGGGATTTGGGGCCTGGCGGGGGGTTGTGGGCCCATGACTGGGTTTGGGGCCTGGCAGGGATGGGGGGTGTCCCATTGAGAACTATTACACAATTCGTCATCATCTCCATGGCACTGTTGCCATAGTGCCCGCGAGGCAGTAATGAGTACCGCCAGGTGATGGCCTCTGGTCACGTTGCTGGCTGGGCCCAATTTATAAAAGCAGAGCCAGGCCTCATGTGGACATAGTAGAGGTCTGAGAGCAGGGGTTGTATTCTACCACCCAGTCTCCCTCCCTGGCATTGTCAACTGGCCTTTCACAGCGGCTGGCACTGGTGGATGCACGGCTCCCTGAGGGTAGTGGTTACTCTACAGCCCAGCCATGGCATAATACAGTACCCGATGTATCTGTGCAGGGAGGCACCAGAAGATCTAGCTTTGCATGGTAGACCCAGTGTTATCAACTCTTATGATTTAATTGCAACTCACCAATATTTGATTTGTTTCCTAAAGGGCCCGCTTCTGCAGTCACATGATTACATGAAAATCTCAGCTGTATTTATTTATTTTTTTGCAGTAAGTTTATAGTGATCAGGGTTATAGAGGAAAAAGTGGGAAATGTGACCTGAGTGAACCTTAAAGACTCAGAAACCTGAAAACAAATAAAAAGAACCCAATATTTATTATTAAAATCTCATGAATTTTGAGCCAATCTCATGATGGGTTGGGACATGACTCATGATTTTTGAATGCTTGGGATTGGCAATTCTGCAAGATGCTGCCATCTTTTTTGGCTGTATGCCATCTGTGGGGAAACCCCATGTTGGTGCTCAGTACAATGTAGCAAAAAGTCCCTCCAGTCACAGCTACATGACATCCATGATGCTGTGACACTGAAAACCTCTGTCTCTCTTTAAGTATCGTACGGTGAATGCCTATCTAATGATCTAAAATGAGAGGGATGGTGCATGCCTCTTCATGTCCTGTGCTCTGAAAGTTCATATTGGCACGGTTTTGGCTTCTGGTGTCAAAGCAAGTTTTCCTGAGGGCTCAGAATCCGATAAGAATTTCAGGACTGCCAACACTGGCCATTTTATAGTGAATTTAAGAGATTATTAGCTGCTTTCCCGTGATGCTCTCAGTCAGACCTGGAATAGCCTGCAGCTCAGGAATTTGGGCTTAGCTTTCTGTCATACATTCTGTAGCCAGCAGAGGCTGCTGGTCTGATCCCAGAGCAGGGTGGTAGCTAGGGAAGCTCACAATTACTTGTCTCCACCTCCCCTATCAAGAGGCGCTGTATGGGGATGGAGTTGGTGTGAAGGCAGTGAGGGACAGCTACTGGACCACTATCCTTTTCCTGCAGGAGGCCTCATAGGGAATGCGGTAAAAGTGCTGCCTGTGAGGGAACTCACAGCAGTGGTTTGCAGACATTGCCAGCAGTGGGTGCTAAAAGGGAGGGTATAAGAGTAGTGACTGTAGTGGAAGCTCTTAGCTCCTCAAGTATCAGCCTCTTCCAGCAGGAGTCAATGCACAAGGTCCAGGGCTGAGCTCAGCCAGGATTCCTCACAGTTCCCAGCTGTGAGCCGGGTGATGAATTTCAGGATCAAAATAGCCAGTGACCTGTTGTGTCAAGATGGCTCTGGCTGGGTTTGGAAAATGTATGTGGGTGAAAAGAGGTGAAATGTTTTATATGCACAAACAATGTATATCTGTAACACCTACATTCTTTTATAGCAGAGTAGCTGTTGTTGGCCAATAGTCTCTGCCATATGCTAGCATTACACTGACTACAGAAGATGCGTTGGAAATCATTTTGGTTTTGCTTGAGTTCTTTTTATTGCTCTGATCAATAAACTGAACCATTTTGGTTTCCATATTTAATAAAGGACTGACACCCAAGCTCTAGCAGTTACTCAAATTCAAATCCTTACTCAAGACCCAAAAGCCAGCCGATGCCTCAGCCTTGATGATTAATAAATCAGAGAAAACTATGTTTATTCATTTAAAATAATTCATGTGACTTAGAACCACCATGATGTCCCAGTCCCTAATATGTACAGCTTCATGATCTGATGCTGTCGCACTCAACCCTACTCTTTCCCAAATTCTGGGTGCATTAGAGAGAGGAGTGGAGAGGGTTGATATCCAAATTCTGAGTGGGGATTAGGGTCTGGGTTCTGTGCAAGCCATGAGGTGGGAGGTAATTTGGATCTGGGTTCTGCATGTACGTTTCAGGGGAGGATCTGCAAGCCAGTTGGGAGGAATCAAAATCCAAGTTCTGGGTGCAGGCCGAAGGGGATTTGGGATATGAATTCTCGGTGCAGATCAGGAGGGAATTTAGGGTGTGCATTCTGTGTGCAGGTCAGGGGAGGGAAAGGGATCACTATCTGAGTTCTGGTTGATGCGGTGGGGGGAAATCAGGATCCAAGTTCCAGTTGCAGTGTGTTTTCATCTCCTTCTATCCTGGGTAGCACTGCAGGGCCCATTTGGCTGCCTAGGCACCCTGAGGCCAGCTGAAAACAAAGGTGAATGAGCTTAGCAGCAAGGGCCAGAAGATAAAAAATCAGACAGGCATTCCTTCCTCCTCTTTGCGGGGCCCAGCCCAGTCCCTTGAAGGAGTAGGCGGCAAGGAAGCCCTGACTTCCACTGATTAGGCAGGAGCCTTAGGTGCACAGGACATACATTCTCAAACATGGGAGCAGGGCCGGCTCCAGGGTTTTGGCCGCCCCAAGCAGCCAAACCAAAAAAAAAAAAAAAAACAAACCGCGATCGCGATCTGCGGCGGCAATTCGGCAGGAGGTCCTTCGCTCCGAGCAGGAGTGAGGGACCGTCCGCCGAACAGCTGGACGTGCCGCCCCTCTCCGAAGTGGCCGCCCCAAGCACCTGCTTGGTAAGCTGGTGCCTGGAGCCAGCCCTGCATGGGAGAAGTCCTGCTGAAATTAGCTGGGTTCTGCATAAGCGCGGTGGGGATCCAAGTGCAGAATTGGGGCCTTTGTCAGATTCTCCTTTTATTTGTGTGGGGTTTTCACAAAGCAGCTGGGGAGAGAAAAACGTGAAGTGAATGGGGGGAGGAAAATATATGTCAAAGCCACACACATTGGGAGGGATGAGACCAGAAACTACTTTTACTCACATTTTTAAAAAATAGACTGTTTTGCTTTAATCTTTGTAAACCCCCTGGAAGATGAAAGACATGATAAAAGTATGTGTAGTTTACAACATACCCTGAAGTACTTGGGAAGGACACTATGTCCATGGACACTGCATTATATTACACTGCACTGGGAAAAAAATTGGGACTGGAACTTGCTCTTCTGGTCATCCAGAAATATGCGCTTCCAAGACACTGGATCTTGTTCATTTGTTAGAATTCAGAATTGGCTGGCGAGGAAAAGTTAATCGTCCAAACTAATATTAATGAAAAACGTGCCATGTTCTCTTTTACATAGGATCCTTCACAATTCTCTCAGGCTGTGCTGCAAATTAAACCCTTCCGTTAATCAGGATTCAGTCAATGACCAGTTTTTAGCATTTCACAGTTTATCCAGATGCTGGTTGTGCAGATGTGAAGTAAAACAGAAATATACAAGACAGGCATCTTAAGCCCCAATCCTGTAAAGACTCTTGTTATTAACTTTAAGCACATGAGTAGACCCACGAAGTTCAGAACAGACCCACTCAGTTTAATGGGATCGTCACAGTTCAGGGCAACTGCACTTGTATTCCCAATCCGTGGTCCAGCAAGGGCACCCACTCGAGGCTCCTGGCTCCTCAGCCATCATCTCTCTTGGGCAGAAACCTGCCTCTCTCTTCTGACCTGGGTTTTTCCAGACTGCACACTTCCTGCGTACACTGTGCGTTCCCCAGCAAGCCACGCTGCTTAGGCAGGCAGTTTGCACTTTGCTTTCTCCTCAGAGTCTGTGAACAGTTCTAATTGCCCACGGTTGGTTATAAGGTTCACTCAGCCCTTTCTAAGCAAGCACATTTATTCTTAAGGTGAAAGCATTACAAAGAAAACATATTAAAACAATAGACGAACCCCCAAACCTGCTAATAAGCTTCCCAGACATCACCAATGGAAGGCCTTCCAACCCTTTCTAGGAAGGATTAGGGCCCCCCATGTACAGAAGGTCCTGTCCTGAGTCAGTTTAAACTCAGGCTGTTTATCCAAAAGTCCTTTCTTTGTCTGTTGGTCTCTGGAGAATCCAGTTTGGACCAGTCCATGCAGCCTCTCCAGGTGATGGGATCTCTCTGGAGGTGTTACAACCTGAGTGAATTTGGCTAATCAATACCCCCCCACACTCACACACACACACACACACACACTGTTCTTAGTTCCTGGAGGGCTCTGGTCACCCTTCCCTATGAAATTACATCCTGTCTCTGGGTGTCCATGGTACATATACTCAATACAGTGAGATCTCCCAAAGATATTTCAGGCAACTGCCATAGTTGTCAGGTATAAGAGGGTAGCTGTGTTAGTCTGAGTAACTGCATCTGTAACTTTCACTCTATGCATCCGAAGAAGTGAGGTTTTTACTCACAAAAGCTTATGCCCAAATAAATCTGTTAGTCTTTAAGGTGCCACCAGACTCCTTGTTGTTTTTATAGTTGTCAGGATTACTTGCATGCTTAAAATTAAGCACATGCATAAACCTTTGCAGGAGCGCTGCCTAAGACTGAGGCTGTAGTGTTGTCAGCCATCCATTCCATTAATCCTTTGTTCAGGCCAGGATTTAGGTAAATCCTGTCCAATGCCTATAAGCAGCACTGGGTGTATGAGTCAGTTTGGAAGCTAGAGAGTCAGAGAGAACCACAGGGTCTGTCTGCACCTAGCTGCTCCAGGAGCAAACCCCCGGTGTGCTTTACAACTGAGCTCTCTCTTCTGTGCTGGGAGAGGCCTTCCAAAGTCCATCTCTCCAGCCCTTCGATTTTTAAAAACAAATCGCCTTTATGTTAAAATGGGAGCAGTCAGAGAGCTCAAGCCTCCATTTAGGTTTTGTAAATATATATTTACCAAGGAGCATCCGGAGAAATACTTGTATGTACATGGGGGGGGGAGGATCAACTTCCCTGCAGCCTTTGCAACCCAAACATTGCAAGTGTCTGAAAACCAGAAGGGGAAACGGACTAGGGGCCCAGGCAAGGAAAGTCCTTGTGTCTGAGCAGCCTCCCTTGACTTTCTGCCGGCGCTGCCCGGGTCCCGGGGAGGTGGCTGTGGCAGAGAACCAGCAGATGGAGCTCCGCTTGCGAGACACCTTTTCCTTCCCTCGCCTGCGCCGCGACCCCGCGGGCGGCTCCGCCCGTTCACTTCCTGCGGAGGTCGGGCTCTGGATTTGAAAATGCAGGAGTCGTTGGTGCTGCTGCTGTACCTGGGGAGGAAAAGGAGGGCCGGCCCCCAGCGGGAGATGGCTGCCCGGGGGGACGAGGCGCAGCGGGCAGCCTGGCTCCGGCAGTACTACACGCAGCGACAGAAGAGGCTGATGACGGTAACCCCCTTGGCGGGGGGACGGGGTGTCTGGGCGCAGGGCCCCGGGGCAACAGGGAGAATCCAGGTGTGGAACATCTGGCGCGGGGGCGGGGCTCGCCCTGAGTTCGGGACCGATCCCGCGGACAGGCCCTGGTGTGCTCAGACTGGGGGGTGGGAGGAGAACAGGCCAGGGGCTGTCCAAGGATTGGGGATGGAAGTGGGGGGCCAGGGAGTACAAAGCGATGAGCGAGGAAATGGGGGTGCAGAGCGGGCACAAGGAGAATGGAGGAAAAGCTGGGAGGGGGGTAATCATTTAACACTTTTAAACCCCACCCCCCCAGCTAGAAAACTTGGGCTGAGGGGACCAACCCCTGCAGACAAAATAAAGCCCCTTCATTGTTCTAGTCACTTTAATTCTCCTTTATTCCCATCCATAAACTCAGCCAGGGCCATGGGGCTGAATAAAGACTTTCCACCACTTTCTGTCTCCTTTGTTACTAATCTCCAAACCAGCTGTCAGTTGGAAAGGCCAGGTCTAACGCCGGTTACCGTCAACGAGCAACCCAACCGGAATACCAATCACCACTTAGGGTGACCAGATGTCCCAATTTTATAGGGACAGTCCCAATTTTGTGGTCTTTTTCTTATATAGGCTCCTATTACCCCCCACCCCCTGTCCCGATTTTTCACACTTGTTGTCTGGTCACCCTATCGCCAGTGATAGTTTTGTTTTATCATCCAATTTAAAAAGAATGATTAAACCTGAATGTTAAAACAAAAATAAAATGTACAAAATGTGGGAAAAGTTGAAATTGGAACATTGCAATTGACCCGAAATGGGCTTTTGCCCCAGAAAGTTCGTTTTGTGGGCCACTTTGACTTTTCAGCCCCATTCGGAATGAAATGTTTTCGAATTTTCTGCAGAAGAGAAATTCCAAGCATCACCCAGCTGTAGGGTGACCAGATGTCCCGATTTTATAGGGACAGTCCCGATTTTTGGGTCTTTTTCTTATCTAGGCACCTATTACCCCCCACCTCCTGTCCCGATTTTCCACATTTGCTGTCTGGTCACCCTACCCAACTGTAGCGATGACATTCTGCCCGCCGAGAGCTCTCAGTTGGCTGCAGTGTTGTGTTTCACACCCTGGCCTCGCGTGTGTGTATTATTGCTGTGTGCTGGTAAACAGCGGCTGTGGTGCACCCCAAAGGGGGCGGGGCTAAGGGAGTTACTCAAGAGGCAGGGTATGTCTAATATCTCATAGGCTTTTGACACTCATTGGGTGAAAGTTGCTATAGGGCTGTAATAATACCCCACTCTTATCTAGCACTTCTCATCCATAGATCTCAAAGTGCTTTACAAAGGAGATCAGTACCATTGGCCTCATTTTACAGGTGGGGAAACTGAGGCACCAATCGGCAAAATGACTTGCTCAAAGTCACCCAGTAGGTCAGTGGTAGACCCAGGAAGAGAACCCTGAGTCCCAGACCAGTGCACCACCCACTAGGCCAGACACTCATTCCATTCAGTATTAGCTTGGCATTCATGTAGACAGCCTGATACAGGGGGCTGGGCTGAGTGCCAGGGATGACTGAGCTCCAAAACCAACTCAGTGACTAACTGGGTGGCCTTGGGCAAGTCACTTCACACCTTTTTGTGTCAGTTTTCCCCCTGTGTCCAATAGGGATGATGCTGACCCAATACCCAGGGATGCTGAGAGGATGAATTGATTGTCTGTGCAGCACGTTGGTTGGTTGTAGATGCAGTGCTGTAAAAGTGCTGAGCATTGCCATACATGTCTAGAAGGAAATGCTGCCTCATGCCTGTAATTGTCAAATTTCAGCTGCTGATTGCCCGTCGGAGGAGATCCAGCTGTTACTTCCACCCACGCGCCTGGCCCAGCTTCCGGAATGCTGACTGGTGGGAACGGGTGGTCCTGAAAGACTTCCAGCCTCGGGACTGGCTGGAGAAATTCCGAATGTCCAAGGAGACCTTCTTCTATGTCTGCAACCAGCTGCGACCCAAGCTGTCCCACCCGAGTACCCAGCCCCACCCAGTGCTGCCTCTGGAGCAGCGGGTAGCCGTGGCCGTTTGGCACCTGGCCACCAATGTAGAGTACCAGACAATCAGCCCCCTCTTTGGGGTGGGTCCCTCCACCGTGCAGAACTGCGTCAAGGAGGTCAGCTACGCCATTGTGCTGCTGCTGAAGCCACTCTACCTCCGGCTGCCCAGCGAGCAGGAGCTGGAGAACATGGTGCGAATCTTCAGTGCCCGCTGGGGATTCCCACACTGCATCGGTGCCTTGGACAGCCTCCATGTCCCCATCCACGCCCCTGCGCACCTCGGTGCCGACTACTGCAACAGCCAGGGCTGGCATTCTGTCCTCACGCAGGCGACGGTGGATGGGCTGGGTCAGTTCTGGGACATCTGCGCCGGCTTTCCTGGCAGCATGGAGAACAGCACCGTCCTGGAAAACTCCAGCTTGTGGGTGTTAGCCAGGGAGGGCCGCCTCTTCCCAACCCCCCTGAAACATTTCATGGGGAGGGCACAAAAGTACGTCCTGTTGGGAGATGCCTCTTACCCGCTGCGGGACTGGATCCTCAAGCCTTACCCAGAAGACGGCACCCTCACCCCACAGCAGCTCCAGTTCAACTATCGCCTGAAGCGAGCCCACAGTGTGATCGAGAATGCCTTCCTGCGCCTCAAGGCCCGGTGGCAGTTCCTCCTGAAATGTGACGACTGCAGCCTGGACCTGCTGCCCACGGTCATACTCGCCTGTTGCACCCTGCACAACGTGTGTGAGGCCCACGACAGCCCCTTCAACGAGGAGTGGCTAGAGGTGATAGAGCCCGCCGAGTTCTCAAAGCCCTGCCAGCCTGCGCCCATGTCCATGGACGACAGCAGCGCCGAGGAAGTGCGAGAGCTGATGTGCGAATACTTTGAAAGCTACGGAGAAGGCTGATTGCTACAAAGCAATGCCGCATGCTCTCCAGCTCTCAAACTTTCAGTAACTCTAGTACACCTAACGTTGCCCCAGCAATCAAAGGCTACTGAATGGGGACTGTGCGCTGTCACATACTGCAAAGCCTTTTCCGTGGAATAAAGGTGGCTTGGGGGATTGGTAAGGAGTCAGCCCTTCCCAGCTCAGCCACCAGTTCCAGTCCAGAGGAGGTTGGCCGTGTTGTGCTAAAGCAGTCTTTGCCTTGGTGCTGCCAGGCAATGGGATGGATTTCATGCCTTTGTAATCTGCCAGGGTTTAGACGATCTTGTGTCGTGGTCTGTGAGATGTAAATAAAACAGGGGGTCTAGGTTTGGACAAAAAGAGCAGTGCATATTTTTTTTGCTTTCTTTACGAATAAATCAGGCTCAGTAGCTCAGGGCGATTGGAAAAGGGACACAGAGCCTGTCATGTCTTGGTCCCTGGTATGAAATCAGCCTAGGCTGCAGCCTGGCAGTCAGTGAAAGTTACCAGCTGATGAGTTCTCAGTGGCCTGTGGGAAAAGGTGGGTGGATCTCAGTTCAGCAGACAGGTGTCCTTCACCCAGTGCTACTGTTACTGTTGGCACAGTGTCACCTGCATGGGCAGCCTCAGCAGCAAGTGCCTAGATGCCGTGGTGATGGGTGCTCCAGAAACACATCAGCAGAAAGGCCAAAGGATGGAATAGGTACTATTGTCTGAATCACAATAGCATCTGGAGGCCCCAGCCGAGGACAGGGCCCCATTGGCTGGGTCCTGACCCAGAGATGCCAGTCCCTGCCCTGATGAGCTCACTGTCTGAACAGGCAAGATGCACACAAGGTGGGAGGGGAAGTGACTTGCCTGAGGCCAGCAGCAGAGCTGGGATAAGAATCCAGGAGTCAAGGATTCCCAGCTAGCACCCTACCCACTAGACTGCACTACCTCCACTACAGCCTGAGGCTGAAGTTCCTGGCTAATGCTGAGGAACATCGGCAGAGCTGCGCTGGGGCTGCCTGGGCACGTGGTTTCTCGGTGAGTCACTGCAGCTCTCCAGGCTGGCCCCTTTCAGGAGCACAGAAGCTGAGACAGTGGTGGGTGGGAAAAGCCCTGGGGTCACTTTAGGACAGGGGTCGGCAACCTTTCAGAAGTGGTGTGCCGAGTCTTCATTTATTCACTCTGATTTAAGGTTTCGCGTGCCAGTCATACATTTTAACGTTTTTAGAAGGTCACTTTCTCTAAGTCTATAATATATAACTAAACTATTGATGTATGTAAAGTAAGTAAGGCTTTTGAAATGTTTAAGAAGCTTCATTGAAAATTAAATTAAAATGCAGAGCCCCCCGGACCGGTGGCCAGGACCCCGGCAGTGTGAGTGCCACTGAAAATCAGCTTGTGTGCCGCCTTCGGCACATGTGCCATAGGTTGCCTACCCCTGCTTTAGGAGGTATGTGGATTTCCACAAAGGTATCTGCCTGGCATGGCGGAACCTCTTCAGGGATGCTGCCTCCAGGTGAAATCACGTGATGAAGGAAATAACAACAAACTCAACATCATGGGCCAGATTCAACTGGGGCTCCAGCGAGTACGACTTCATTGCCTTCAGCGGAGTGACTCCCATTTGCATCAGGGCTGAGTTTAACCGCACACATCTGTGGTTCTGCTTCTGCTGACACCCCTCTCCCGTTTTGCCAGTCACGCTGCCTAGCATCATCATTCCTGGGGACACACTAATAGAATCAGTCGTTTCCATACCCCCACGCTTGTGCCTGCTGTCCAGAACTCACTTGTTTTGTGGAAATCTAGTGTTTTACTCCTACAATCTGATAACAAGAATTTGGGACTTTAGCAATATCTGTGTCTGAAGGGCTGTGGATGTAGCAGGGGCGTTAACCTGAGTATCCAGACAAATTCCAATGTAGGTAACTACATTCTGCCTATCTGTGGCCCTGAGCCTGCAAAGAGTTACACATATGCTTAACCCTACCTGCATGGACAGACCCACTGAGTCCAAGCCTTAAGCCTCCAGGATTGGAGTCTTTGATTTTTAAAACATGGCCGGATATTTGTCTGCTCATAGACTTGAAGGTCAGAAAGAACCATCATGATCATCTAGTCCGACGTCCTGCACATTTCAGGCCCCAGAACCTCACCCGCCCACTCCTGAAATAGGCCCCTTAGCTCTGGCTGAGTTACTGAAGTGCACGCTATTAGAGTGGCAGGTGATGTGGTTAGCAAAGTCTGGCCCTTGCATTACATAGGGTGGAAGAATCCAGGAGTCTGACCGGTTCTTTATGAACCTGGGAACTTACTGCCTTTGAGTCAAAGAAGCCTTAACTGGATGCCTCTCTGGAAGAGATGCTTTAGCTTAATACACATGAGTGGGTTCAATGTAGGGGTAACAGGGAATTCCACGGCCTGTGACGTATAGGAGTTCAGATGAGCTAATGGTCCCTTTGGGCCTTTAACTCTACGAATCTCTGGACTGTACAGTTTGGGGAAAACTCCAGCACTCCCTCCGCACTGTACTTCCTTCCCCAGGCTCCTGGCTGTCGCACCGCAGCAATGGTTCAGTGGCTTTCACCCTCCACCTAAACCTGCCAGCCCTGCATCAGCAGGTGAGAGGACTTCTCTTGGGGCTGGGTGAATGGCTCCCTAAAGTCTCCTCAAAGCCCTGCCTGTCCCACGAGTGCTTTAGATACACTGTGTGACGGGTTCCCCCTGGGGTGCCACCTGGAATTGGGGTACCACTGAGCCCCCTGACCCACCAGCCTGGGCTCCCTCTCACACTGTACTGCTGTGACAAGCTGCAAAGCCCTCCAGCCTGCACTTTCACCAGCATTCACACAGGTAGGGACACACCCAGCTGCAGTTACACACGGGCTCTCTAACCACCAGCTCTGTACCCCAGAGCAGTACCGTCCTGCCCTGGTCAAACCTGGCTAGTATATGGCTTTGATACCCGATCTGCCTCTCCCTCAATGTGAAGAGAACAATGCACACTTGTGGGTAACCAAGCTGAGATTTCCCCAAGCACTCCAGTCAAAGCTCACTGGTTTAGATTAAAACAAAAACAAGTTTAACTACAAAAGATAGGTTTTAAGTGATTATACGGGATAGCAAACAGAGCAAAGCAGATTACCTAGCAGATAAACAAAAAATGCAAACTAAGCTTAATATACTAGATAGATTGGACATGAAGTAGTAGATTCTCACCCTAAGAGATGATACAAGCAGGTTGCTGATTCTTAAGGGGCAAGCTGCACTTACTTTACAGCTTGCAATCCCCAGGTATCTCATTCACAGGCTAGAAATCCCTTTAGCCTCGGTCCAGCACTTCCCCCAGTTCAGTCTTTGTTCCTCAGGTGTTTCCCAGAGTCTCCTTGTGTGGGGAGTGAAGACCCACAGATGATGTCACTCCCTGCCTTATATAGCTTTAGCGTAGGGCGGGAACCCTTTGTTCCAAAGCTTGGTGAAAAAATACTGACATCCCAAGATGAAGTCCAGCATTATGTGGTCTGGTCACATGTCCTTGTAGAGTCATAGCAGCCATCACTCACGGGATGTCTAACATTCTCAGGAAGACTCACCAGGTGGGAGATAAGCTTGTGAAGGGCACCAAGAAGGGTTTCTACAGGTATGTTAGCAACAAGAAGAAGGTCAGGGAATGCGTGGGCTCCTTACTGAATGGGGGAGGCAACCCAGTGACAGATGATGTGGAAAAAGCTGAAGTACTCAATGCTTTTTTTGCCTCAGTATTCACAGACAAGGTCAGCTCCCAGACTGCTGCACTGGGCAGCACAGTACGGGGAGGAGGTGAGCAGCCCTCTGTGGAGAAAGAACAGGTTAAGGACCGTTTAGAAAAGCTGGACGTGCACAAGTCCATGGGGCCGGATGCAATGCTCCGAGGGTGCTGAGGGAGTTGGCTGATGTGATTGCAGAGCCATTGGCCATTATCTTTGAAAACTCATGGCAACCGGAGGAGGTCCCGGACGATTGAAAAAAGGCAAATGTAGTGCCCATTTTTAAAAAAGGGAAGAAGAAGAATCCAGGGAACTACAGACCAGTCAGCCTCACCTCTGTCCCTAGAAAAACCATGCAGCAGGTCCTCAAGAAATCCATTTTGAAGCACTTGGAGGAGGGGAAAAACAACGAGGAGTCCTTGTGGCACCTTAGACACTAACAAATTTATTTGGGCATAAGCTTTCGTGGGCTAGAACCCACTTCATCAGATGAATGAAGTGAAAAATACAGGAGCAGGTATAAATACATGAAAGGATGGGGGTTGCTTTACCAAGTGTGAGGTCAGTCTAACAAGATAAGTCAATTAACAGCAGGATACCAAGGGAGGAAAAATAACTTTTGAAGTGGTAAGAGAGTGGCCCATTACAGACAGTTGACAAGAAGGTGTGAGTAACAGTAGGGAGAAATTAGTATTGGGGAAATTAAGTTTAGGTTTTGTAATGACCCAACCACTCCCAGTCTTTATTCAGGCCTAATCTGATGGTATCCAGTTTGCAAATTAATTCCAGTTCTGCAGCTTCACGTTGGAGTCTGTTTTTGAAGTTTTTTTGTTGAAGAATTGCCACTTTGAGGTCTGTTATTGAGTGACCAGAGAGGTTGAAGTGTTCTCCTACTGGTTTTTGAATGTTATGATTCCTGATGTCAGATTTGTGTCCATTTATTCTTTTGTGTAGAGACTGTCCGGTTTGGCCAATGTACATGGCAGAGGGGCACATGATGGCATAGATCACATTGGTAGATGTGCAGGTGAACGAGTCCCGGATGGTGTGGCTGATGTGGTTAGATCCTAAGATGGTGTCCCTTGAATAGACATGTGGACAGAGTTGGCACTGGGGTTTGTAGCAGGGATTGGTTCCTGGGTTGGTGTTTTTGTTGTGTGGTGTGTAGTTGCTCGTGAGTATTTGCTTCAGGTTGAGGGGCTGTCTGTAGGCAAGGACTGGCCTGTCCCCCAAGGTCTGTGAGTGAGGGATCATCCTTCAGGATAGGTTGTAGATCCTTGATGATGCGCTGGAGAGGTTTAGTTGGGGGCTCTAGGTGACAGCTAGTGGCGTACTGTTACTTTCTTTGTTGGGCCTGTCTTGTAGTAGGTGACTTCTCGGTACCCTTCTGGCTCTGTCAATCTGTTTCTTCACTTCACCAGGTGGGTATTGCAGATTTAAGAACGCTTGATAGAGATTCTGTAGGTGTTTGTCTCTGTCTGAGGGATCGGAGCAAATGCGGTTGTATCTTAGAGCTTGGTTGTAGACAATGGATCGTGTGATGTGGTCTGGATGAAAGCTGGAGGCGTGTAGGTAAGTATAGCGGTCAGTCAG